GAACCAGTTTAGATTGCATCAGTGGCAAATAATATATTTTGTAATCCACAATTGACCTGAAGTTGGTGTCCTTTTGCATCAAATGAGATATGGTCCTAGCTCACAGTGGTTACCAACATGCTTTGACAGGCTGGTCCTAAAAGCCACCTGACAGAAGCTTGTTCCATATGGACATAACATCCTTCCAGAAAACCCTATCCTGTACACAGTTACTATAGGTGAAATGTATATCAGCTTGCCTACTGAGCTAAGAATACTACTGCAGGTCTTTGTGCTCTTTATCTGTTGTCTAGTTTTAAGTCCTGACCCTCATTTACAAGTTCTTTCATAGGCTGTGATGCAGCTATCTCAAGGACTGCCTGTTGCTCTGTAACCTCAAGTGATAGCTTCCTTCAACTATGATGCTCAGCTGACAGAATGCAGAGTATAACTTGCAATACCAGTACTCTTACGTTGGGAGTTGCGGGGATATGGAGATTCTTCTACCAAATATTTCATCCTCTCTTCAGAGTAAGATGCAAAGCCAGTGTTCTTTTTTTGGCATCATCTTAATGACTGAGCGGAGTTTCTGATTTTTTTACATAGGGGAAAAAATAAAAAAGGGTGATGTTTCTGTTGATACTGTTCCCAAAGCATCTTGGATGTATTAAAGAGGGCCTGGATCAGGGATGGCCCAGATGCGGCCCACCAGGCCATTCTATCTGGCCTGCAAGGTCCCTAAAAAATTTAAAAAATTAATATTTTATTATATTACAATTATCTGCCCTTGGCTGCCTGTCATGTGGCCCTTGATGGCTTGCCAAAACTCAGTAAGCAGCCCTCCACCTGAAATAATTGCCCACGCCTGGCCTGGATGTTAGTGAGGAGTGAGTTTTGGGAACACGAAATGATTTTGCCCAGTAATTCACCTGTGATGTTTCTACTCTCCGGATACAAGGTCAAACTGTAAATGTTTATGCTGTTATTTTTATCTTACTGGGATTTAAATAATGAAAATATTTGTGGTTGCCCCTCAACTAATCTGTAAAATGGGGGGTGTGAATACTTTTATCTACCTCGGAGGGTTCCCTGAAGATTGCTTGTAAATTCTTCAAAGAGGATGGGTGGTTGTGGTCAGAGGTGGGGCGCCGTGGTTCAGGAAATTAATGTTCTGTGCCTTGTTGCACAGCTTTGTACAAACTATATGGGGTTTCTATGATTTGGTTCCTTATCTGTAATATGTGATAAATTTTTCCTACCTCATACAGGTATTTGTAGGGATAAATTCATTCATAAATATGTTGCCAGATAATACGACAGAGCACAATAGAAAAACTAATAAATGTGTAGGCTTAGTTTCTCATGCTATACAAATTAATACCTATTACAGTTTTCACATTTTGCATAGTATAAAATTAACCCTTTAACCACAGGCTGAGATTTCCAGTTCAGTTGAGGCAATTTAGATATACATCCCTTTTAATTTAGTAAAAGCTGGTCTAAATTCCTAAGACTTTGAAATTTTCAACCTCAGTGCGTAATGGGACTGTGACTGCTAAGAATTGTATGCAATAGATTGATGATAAAAACTAGCATCTTGAATTTCCATTTATTCCTACACAAAGTAGGACTTTTAAGAAGTAAAAAAGGAATTATTCATATAATTGTGATATCTTAATTGTTTTTAGAACTATAAATATGTAATGCATAAATTGTCACTGAAGTGCATGAGACTTAGGAGTCGTATTCAAAGAGTTAGTAGGAAAAAAATTAATAAGCATCAAAAATACAGAAGTCAAAATTGTATCTCTTAAACTGAATCACTATTAGCAGCCATTTTTGTATTGTTTTATCTATGTATTTGCCTGCCTTTGTTCATGCGACACTGCTAGCTTAAAATATTAAAAAAATCACAATTGTTAAGCTTGTTTTCCAGTTACAGTTACAAATAACATCTGCAATTACGATAACTGGAAAATGAGGGATTTTTTGTTTACTTTTTGTGAGCTTGATCAGGCTTTTAGAGGTTTTTCTTTTCATAATCCACTTTCCACTTTTTTTTTTGTTTACAATCTTTTTCTTTTTATTGTTTGCATGTAATTTTCACACACTAAGGAATGGAAGAAAAGCATAAAAGAAAATAAAAAGTGTTTGTAAAACCACAAAAGCTTTGCTGATGGAATCAGAGCTACATATATTACCATGTGCTAATTTTTCTTTATTGTATTGACTAGCTTCAACTCCATGGTGTTTCTTTAGTTCTCTGCTACACGTCATATAATTTATGAATCATTTATAAAATATGCACTCACCCACCACTTAGCATATATGTATAATTTATAAAAATACATTTAAAACCGATGTCTCTTTCTCTGTAATGTTAATAAATAATTCTAGTCTAAATTTATTAGCAAAAATAATTATACGGTCATCTTAAGCCTCAAATCACATAAGGTCCTAATTCAGTTAAAACCTCTCTGGCTACCCTTTTGCAGTGTGAGTCTCCAAACTTTATATGCTGAGGCTAACACACATTGCCTTGGATATACGCCTCTGCACAAACCAAACTAAAATTTTCTCTCTTCCCTAATTAGAATGTGATCGGTCATAAAGTAGAAACCTTGAGTAACAATAAACAAAACTCTGCGTAGCCTGCAATAAGGGTAGATTTGCTTAAAGTTTGGTGGCTGCAGAGCTAAAATTCACTGTTTTTGCTGGATAATGTGCGGGCCGGGCGCGAGCCGGGCCCTTTTTGTGCTCTGCGCGGGCTGTGGCCAGCAGCCTGGGCACGTGGGGGTGGAGAGAACGTGCGACACGCTAGAATTAGGCACGGACTCGTAATGGTAGATTTAAAGATTGTTTACTTACACCGGAGATGGTTGCGGTGCAGGCTGGAAAACTTGCTTGAGTTGCGGTTACAGACAAAACAACACGAACAATCACGTGGAGTTTGCTAGGCTCCACGGAAACAGAGCTCCGGATGCCCTGGACAAGCGCGCCACCAAAATAGAAACTTCGTAGATACGTCCTATAAAAATTATCACTCGAAGACGGAAAAAGGTGGGCGATGGATCAGGTGGCCAAACTCCTCTGAATCTCACACAGGGTTTCTGTTACCTTGCCGTGTACCCAGAGTCCCCACGAGATGGATGTGGAGTCCTCTTCGGCTTGGGCAGAAACCGCTCAAGCCTCTTATACGGCTAGCAGGCCAATCATTAGCTGCCGCGTGGGAATAATTTAGATTTAGCCAATAGCGGGGAACAAATTTGCATGCGGGTGGCGGGAACTCCTTTGCACCGTGCATTTCTCTTGCAACTTGAGCAATGCATCCTGCAAAGGAAGCTACAAATTGGCAGGAAATTCTCCCTTGCACCGGGGTTCTCCTCTGCAGCAGAAAACTCCACCGTGCAACGAAGCTGCAATTTAGCGGGTATAATTCTAGTGCCGAAGCGCGCACAAAATCATACCTTTGGGTTATGACAGATAACAGCAAGATTGTTTTTTAAGGTACTAAAAAGAATTATCAGCATGTCAATAATACATCCTAGATAACCTTAATCTTACATCCCCAGGTTTCAAACTCTCCAAAGCAGTATGTGCAAAAATTTTTGAAATGATAAATTAAAAGTCTTATGTGATACTAATTACTCAGTTGGGTCCCCTAGTATTTTTGATTCTAAGCGACAGAAAAGGCCAAAAACAAAAAGTCAAGAAAGGCTAAAAATGAGCAGCAAACTCTCAATGATGTTACTTCTCATTCCATTCTGTTGTAAGGGCATGTATTGTGACTGGAATTACTCAGTGAATGGTGTGACGGTGAATATAGACTTGGAATAATTAATCACATAGCTAACACGTTAGGAGAGAGATTAAATAAAGAAAGACGTAGATATTTTTTAGTTTCAGATAGACTAATCAGAGAATATGTTCTAATGCAAAGTGTCATTCAAAAATAATAGGGGAGACTTAGGTTCTCAAAGCACAAACACAGGGGAAAAATCTGTTTGTCAAGTGAGGGAAATAATGCATGAATTTGAGAAAGATTGACCCTTTAAACTCTTTCAATCTCAGATAAAATTTGATCCAAATTTGGGGATCTGCAAAAAAAAAATATTTAAATCTTAGAACAATATTGTGCAAGTCTGCAGGGGCGTACAATGAGAACAATTAAATGAGCCAGCCTCATTGCTGTGGGCTGGATCCCATGCTACATATTAGTTATTTAAGTATGATTCTAATCCAGGGGCGGGCAGAATCCAGCTCGTGAACTGTCTCGAGCCTGTGGCAGACTCCATTTCCTAGCAGCCCCTGCCCACACAGCTGTGCCCAGTTTCCATGGAGACCCCCAGTCGCAGCAGCACCATGACAGTGCAGGGCTAGGGTATCCATAGAAACCGGCCCCAGCACCTCTGCCCTGGCTCTGGACCATGTTGTTACCGCTGCAAGATCCCCAGCCCCAGCCATACACCCTGCCAGCACTGCTGAGTCCAGTCTCTATGGGAACCCTGGCCCCACGCTGTCATGCCACTGCCACTACCGGGGTCTTCATGGAAACTGGTTGCAACGATGTGAGCAGGGGCTGCTGGGAAATGGAGTCTGGATGCTGGTTGGATCCACCATTTTTCCCACCCCTGTTCTAATCCACTCTGCCAATGTCACTAAAGCAAACAAGGCATGCAGTTAGATCCGCTTTAGCCTTAATGCTAAGTCACAAAAAATGGTGGGGAGGAAGGGAAGGATCTTCTTGTTACAACAATTTTTCAGGGACTTAAGTAGAATAAGACTGAACTTAAATATTTAATAGGTGGAGTGGGATCTGGCCCTGAATGTCTCTCAGTTAAAGTCAATCCACTGAGGAGGATATAAGAACTATTGCTTTCTGGTGGTACACATCAAAAGGAACGAAGGGAAAGCAGAAGTTTTGCCCATGCCCTCCACATGCCGAGGGGTAAACAGATTATACCATGGTAAAGGTAAATAGTATCCGTATCTAGTCCCTCTGAAACAGATTGTGCCCCAAGGTAAAGACTCTGTCTAAATGGCACAATTTAGCTCAGTATCTGTGGTCTAACCTTATATCCTTGCATGCCAGCCTCAATGTGACTATCTAGAAATGCACTTAAATGTAAAACTCACTAGTATTTTACATAGTCCAAACTAAGAAAAATACAGAATGTAAACTGCATAAGTGGTGAAAAATAAATTAGATTTTCAAAATTGTTTCTGTTCTAATAATTTCAGATGTTTGTAGTTGAACATGTTATTTTGTATCTATATGCAATATTTGAAGTGCATTTGATATTTGGTTTATATTTATGTTTATAGCTAATATTTGATATTCATATGTAATATTTTTAAACCTGGTGTGTGTTAAATCTTTGAGCTCTAAAAATAACCTTTAAAAGTGTAGCTTCACTCAGAAAAGTGACTAGAAATTACATTTTGTTATTCCAAGCTTGTTCCGTCTTAACCACTCCATAGTAGGCTTGCTAAGTATGCAAGTTGATTTTCTTTTGCCTTTGAATTTCCAGTGCTACAAAAAAAAAAAAAACAAGCTGTGATTTAAGTCCTATCACAGATTCTTCAGACCAGAATCTACCCACTAATCTGCCTGATTAATATGTTTTACTGGGACCGTAATTTGAGAGAATTGGTGCAACCTTTGTTGTTGATGTTGTTGTAGAGGTGTAATGACAAAAGGGTTTTCTGTGCTATTGGAATTTGGTTAACTATTTGATTGGCAATGAACAAAACAGACTGTAGTCCAGTTTATCCTTTCAAGCTATATTGGTTGAGAGCTACCAGGAATAAAAATTAAACAAAGGCTTTTGCCATCCAGTTAAGTTTATGTGATAATGAAAATACAAAAGATGGCCTCACATATTATTATTTAATCATAATGATTAGCCATTCTAACTGTAACCTCACTTTAATACTTAAGAATGGGGAAATACCAGAAGAGCAGCAGCATAAAGGTGAGTGAAATTTATTCATGCTGAATATTATGGAAGAAAAAGGAATAATGGGAGACTATTTAAAGGGAGTGCCTTTAAGTTATACATCAGAATGCAAAACTCCACAGCTTCAGAGGTGAAGGTACTTTGGGTCAGCAGAGGCATGAAGGTTCTCTGAATATGTTTAGGATTTGCTTTTCCACTGTCCCTCTTCCTCAAGGGGATTGGGGGATACCTTAGCATACTGGGAGGCATGTAGAGTAGAGTATTGTGGCAGTGTCAGGGTGCTCCCCTTAACTGGACACCCGAGGCCAGACTTGTCCTAGGTATGTTGCTGCCTATAGTATCTACTCGCCTGCTACAACTTGATGTTAAGAGTGTAATCTATAGAATGGGAGGCAGTTCACCTTGAATGACTTGTGATCTCTTTATAGGCAAGATTTACACTCTGGAAAGGTATAGGCCACAACACAGTTCAAAATTAGGGGCTGCCCCTTTAAGGGATGGCCAAGTTTGCCAACTCAGTTTCCTGTGAATCTGAGCAGGGCCCAATGGCTGGGAGCTCCACCTCCCCTTCACTCCCCCCACAAACCACTGGTAATACAATGAAAAATAATCACAACAGAAAGAACAGGAGTCTCTGTATTCCTCTTCCCTGTCCAGGAGTGTTGTAACCAAGCAGCTTCACTTTCTCTTTTTTCCCCCACACCTCCTTCCAGCTTCCCCAGCTGCTTCTTATCATCCCACCGGCACTCCCAGCGGCCAATCTGCTGGCCTCTTCACCAACTGATAATCAGCTGCCCCTTAGCTAATCGGCTGCACCTGAGGCTTCCCTCAGGTCCACTCCGGGCTGGGTTGTCTCTTTCACCCAGCTGCCGGCAGTCTCTGTTTCCTGTAATGCTGGAGGGAACAGCTAGGGGTGGGAGAGGGACGCAGAGCTCTCCTGTTTCTCATTCTGCTACAAGTATAACACTATTGATTTCCATGCACCCATAAGAAGGACACGTTGCTAAGATCCCATTATGTACCCAGCGCAATAGCTCATATACCTGGGATCAAAGTTGCACCAGGTTCTTGGGTCTGTTGTGGCCATTGCCAGTTAGGTATCTCTTTGTGGGCAGGAAGGAATTTTTCATTTAGGCAGATTGCATGTTCAGGGTTGCTTTCCATGCTTTCCCCTCACCTGTCCAAGTACCTGGCTGATAATTTAGAAGGTAAAGTTCAAGTAGTTCAATACATCCTGGCTGCTTGCAAAAGAATGTATATGTTTGATATTGGGTCCAGTTTCCTGATAAACTAAAATTAGAAGTGGACTTGAGAATGGATTACTTTGCACTTTATACAGATTACATGGGCCTTGTTTGAACTGCTCTGACAATATATGGTGCTGGCAGAAGTAATTATCTATATCAGTAGCACAGTCATGTCTTTCATAATAGCAACCAGTTATTATTGGGTACATTACTAATGCTAACAGGTCATCTGAGCAGGCTGGCTTTCTATGCTTTCTTTATTAGTGTTTGAAGCTTATTTTGTTATTGAAGTCAATATGAATACACCAAGAAAGACACGGAAAGGATTCTGCAGAATCAACCATAATTCATGTAACATTTGTTTAAAACACTAATTGTAGGAAGGTCTTTATTCCAACTTTTAAATAAAAAAAACCACAAACAGCCTTTATCCAAAATTTTGCTATACCAGTAGGCAACACCAAGGGTCACATATTATTCTCAACCTATTTCTGCTGCCACGCTACATGTGACACCCCTCTTCAATAGTTAATGTAGGAAAAGAGAAGAAAGTAATGAGGAATTCTGCCTCCTTTACATTTTACACTCAGTGGGCATGCCTACATGTGGTCATTTAATGCAGATTAGCCCAATTTAAGCCACATTAGGGACACATCTACACATGCACACCCTTAATGCAGCTTAAAAATGGCAATTTTAGGCTATGTGAGCTAAGTTTGATACCTGCCCAAACCCAGTATCAAATTTAAGTGGGATTAGTTAATGCAGATTAATGCATGTGTAGACACGTTACTTTGCATTAGTACAGATAATTTAGTCCTGGGTCTGCCCAGCCACTAGGGGGCCAGCCAGAGGCCAGCCCCAGGGCTCCTGGCTGGGAGCCTCTCCTCCTCCAGGGCTGGGCTGCTCTCTGTATAGTTTGCCACTCGTAAGTGGGTTTTTTTATTGTTGGTGGGTGGGGTGGGTGGTGCCAGGGGCAGGCAGGCAGTGTTTTTTGAGGTGGGAAGGGGGAGGGAATGGGGGCAGGTGTTGCGAAGGTAAAGTGGGTTTTTTTGTTCAACTGTGTGCATGTCCTGAGAGTGGTGCTGTGGGTGGGCAGGGAGTTGTTTGTGAGTGGCAGAGCTGGCAGGCTGGAGTGGGGAGTGCAGAAGGAGGGGGTTGGCCAGGGCCTCTCACAGATGGTAACCTGGCCCCCAATGACAGGTGCACGGTTCTCCCAGGGCCCGGGTGGGGGAGATAGTTGCCTGCTGGGACCAGCAGGGCCAGCACCATGGCCAGCAGGAGTGCGGGGCACTGGTCATCGCTAGCAGGGGCAGGGGCAGCCCTGGCGCAGGGAGGCAGGGTGGGTAAGGAGGGAGCTGCTAAGTCCCACCATGTGTAGACATCTGCTAAAACCCTCTTAATCCACATTAGTTTAATGCACATTAAATTCAAGTCTGCTTATATTGGTGTGTAGACACACCCAGTATTATTAGAAAAAAGGCAGGTTTTGTAGAAAACCTGTATATTCTCTTACCTGCTTAGCCAGTTATGAGTTTCTCTTTTATATGCTAGGCCAAATAGATCCTTTGGATCTCACTAGGTACTCTACTACTACAGTTGAATAGATTACTGCTAATGTGGTAGATGACAACCATTCATATTTTTTATGGCTAAACTTTGTCCTCTCTCATCTGCACTCTTGATAGGAAACAATTATGTTTTCAAAGACTAATTGCCATCATGATTTAAACACCATTTTTGCTTTAAATTGGAGTTCATTTTGCCTAATACTACTTCATGCATTTTTAATATTTTGCCCATAGTTTGTGTCTGCACACTTCGTTGCCTAATATTTCTTTTTGTGTTCCAAGTTACAAGTTCAAGTAAGCTATGAAAAGGCAGGTATATTTCTACAACAATAGGATGTTTTACTTTGAATATTAAAACAGTTTATCAATAGAAGTTTGAAATATAAAATTGTCTCTGGTGTTTCTGTGGTAGCCTATATTCTTGTAAATTGTAAACATAACTGCTTGCTTGCTTTATTCCTATACGCCATTAATTTTAACAAGAAACTTAAACTAGTGCTGGATCTTTTTAAAAGTTTTCCTTAACTCTTTTACAAAGAGTATAAGAGTTATAAGTAGCCAGTGGCAAAAAATTGCCAGTACAACAAAAGAATGAGTAGGTCATGTATTATTTTTTTTTTTTAAATTCCCCTGTTTTGGCAAGCAAAAAACCCTGATATTACCTTAATTTTAGAACAGTATTAACATTTTGCATATATGGTTCCTTTCATCTGAGGACCCCACTGCGTTACACGGTGCTGCTTTCCAAGGAAGATTGAAATGGAATTTTCCTTCTGAATTATGATAGTGGAAGTACTAATCCCAGCTATTGAACAAAGCTCTACACCTAGTCCAAATGAGGTATTAACATTTTAATCACATGATAAATGTAACATCTGCCAGAAGCCAGCACTGCTTTCACCATAATTTTGTGTCCTCTCTTAGCAGCAATTTACAACACTTTTCTCCTGCAAGGCAACTGGCAGCTTCCTCCAAGTAACCATCACCTAGGAACCTTAGTATGGCATGTCCAAGATATGCCTAAGCTTCAGTAGTATAGGCAGGAAGAACATACTACCTCTAAGTCATAAGATCGAACAAGAGGGTTTCTAATAGACAAGGACTTGAGCCACAACATTTGGCACCAGAAATTAACTTTCCTGAAGTATGAAGTTATTTGAGTCCACAGTTTCAGTTCAGTCTGCATTATTTTTCAACCAGTAATTTATTTGTTAAATACCTTTTTGTAGTATTCTGTTTAGAACTATCTAGTGAATAAAACTATTGATAAATACTGTCAGTATTTACCAAATCATTTACTTTATGTGACTAATTATTGTGGTCTGTGTGTGTTTTCCTTGCAACCATCTCATATGAACAATAACTGTAAAAGTGCTGCTAACACATGGAGAGGATATAATTTATATCATTGTGAAATACAATCTGTAAATCTGATTGTAGTAGAAATGAGCCAGAAACACAAGCTAGATGGTTTCCTACCTTCAGGGTTGCAAAATACAACTCTAAATTTGCCCCAAATTTAGCAGATAAGTTTCCTGCTTTGTAGTGGTCTGAACTAAAACTTGATATTCAAAATACTTCAGAATCTACTAGCTTCAAAATCCATGGAGAAACAGCATCTGTAGCCCAATTTTAGTTCATGGTGAAGTGTGATGAAAGTCCAAAACTGTTCCAAAGCATTAGAAAATGCTGATTGTGATTCTGCTTTTTATGAATCTCAGTAGGACTGCACTCATGTAGAAAGGTTACAGGATGAGGCTAATTATATTGCAAGATGTTTGGACTCATGGATTGTATTAATGTTTATTTCTTGTGTGGTGCCAAATAGTTTGTCAGCACTGAACATATCAATCATAATTATTAATAAATCATTAATAATTACAAATCAGGGATTGACAAACTACAGCCCATAGGCTGGATCTGGCCTGTGGATGTGGGGCTTCAGCAGCATTTGGTGGTGGGAGGTGGACAGCAGCAGTTGCTTTCCCATGCTTCCATGAGGAAAAGCACCAGGCATGGGTGCTCTCCATGTGCCAGCTGTAGGTACTCCCTCCTGCCACCACAGCGAAAAGCAATGGTGGCAGCAGCTGGGTCCTAGTTCCTGCTGCCTACCAACCTCTAGCTCACACTGGGTTACTCCAGCCCACAGGCTAAAAATCTTGCTGATCACTAACGTAAATGATCTTCAGTAATGAAGCCTGATGCCTCTGATTCCACAAACTATGCTAGATATCGAAACAAAAAAAAAATGTGGGCTAGAAGGGACATCTAGACCATCTAATATCTCCAGGTCAGGGCAAGTGTTTTCAGATTATACCAGACAGCTATGGCTGCTTGCGGACAGTAAAAAAACCCAAAAAACACTTTACCAGATGAAGCATTGTATTAGCTGGTCCCAGCTCTGCAGTGTCTATAGATTGGGCACTTCAGTGGGGCTTTCACTTTTATCTAAAGCTGATTCAATCAGCTATTAGTTAAAAGTGCCAAACAAGCCCCACTAAAGCACCCAATCTATACAGGCATCAGGTGAGCTGGGGCCACCTAATGCTCACTGCCTCTTCTGGGCATGTGGTAGTCTCTGCGCAGGAGTGCATGGAGTTTAAGGTACAGCACCATTGTTTTTGTTTTTTTTTATTAAAGTCTGCAAGCAGTCCATGTGTCTAACCCAGTGATTCTCAAACAGGGTGCCACAGCATGTCTAAAGATCCTTCTAAGGGTTGCCACACAATGTTAGCACTGTTAGGTTTACAAAAATGATTCACAAGATAAACCCAGAGATTTCAAATAGATATCTATAGTTGTGGTCTTTGAGTTCTTTGCAACAGAAAAACTGACTAATTATTTTTCTGTAGGCAAAAAAAAGTGTCAAAACAAAGCTGGCATTTTCCAAAGGGTGCCTCAAATCTACAAAGGTTGAGAACCCCTGGGCTAACCTGTTTAAGCACCTCCAATAAAGCAGTTTAAGGCACACATCAAAATCCATACTTAAGTAAAGACATATCGCAATTACTTCTCCCTTAGCTACTACGACATACTCTGTCAGAGAAGGAAATTAGAATGATTTCTTATGACCTTTTCTTGATAAATCCAGAAGTACATCTTTTTTTCTACCTAATTAGTGTTTATTAGTGCTTATAAACTGATTGTTTAATATTTGGTTCTAACACTGTTATAGGTATGAAAGTTGGGCTGATTTATAGAGCTATAAATCTCTAGATCTTCCTTTTTGCTAATTTTTTTAAAGATCGGGACTATGTCTGGACTTCCCCTATCCTTCAATGATTCAAGGATTGTTTTGGCTACATTTTTAAGTATTCGTGGGTGAAATTCATCAGGCCAAACTTCTTGAATAGATCTAACTAATTTTTTTTAACGTGTACTATACTTTACTTATTCTGCTCCTATCCCCTTATTGATGTCAACTGCTTTAAGGACATTGTCAAAATTAACCATGCTTTATGAAGATTGGAACAAAAAGGCATGGTATACTTCAGCCTTCTCTGTGTCAATTATTTGCTCTCCTTTCCCATTAAGTGATAGGCCTACATTTCCTTTTGTCTTTCTCTTGCATCTAATGCTTACTGTGAAGTACCCAATGCTGGAGCAACAACTTCTGCCTGGCTCACCACCTGGATATCTCTGGTCCCTCAGGCTCCATCTCCTACTGTTTATCTCACCTGCTACATCTTAATGTCATCATTTTAGAGGGAGGCTGACCCTAGGAGGCAGGAATGGGTTTTGGGGTAGATCCTTGTCTGGGCTGAGGCCCCCCTGGCCCTGGGTCCACTCTAATCTAGCTGGGTTTTTCTGTCCAGGGTTCGCTTCACCAGAACCCCAAGCGCCCAGGCCACAGCTTGCCTTTCAGACTCTGGGTCCTTGGTTCTCTGGCTGCACTCTTCAGGGCTCCAGGCCTGCACCCCCTCAGTCTCTGCTACCCAGATATTTAGTCCTCTGGCAGCAGTCCTCGTTCTGCAGTGCTTGGGTTTCTGCCCCAGACCACCCACCAGGCTTCTGGCCCAGGAAATGCCCTGTGCTGGGTGTTCCTGTAGCACCTTTTGGCTTCCAGTCCTCCCATTGCAGCCAGACCTGATCCTCTGGTAGAAACATAAATAAAAACACAAGCAACCAGTCCTGAAACACAAAGTCAGAGTTAATCTCACCCCACAGTAGTCCCAATACAAAGACTCAAGGCACTTATTTCTTGCTGGTTGAGGTGCTGGGTTTCTTCCACTCTTCTATAGCACAAAGTCCTTCTGTAGGCAGTCTGGATCAACTCATCCCTTGAGCTTTCCCTCCTGCAGCTCCTACAGCCAGACTGCCCCTTATGGGCCAGGCCCTGGGCTTATGAGTCCCTCCTTGGGTCACTTTACCTTCTATTTCTGCCCCAGGCCTGCCAATCACTGCTTGCTCTTGGGGCAGGTGACCATTTTATTTAAGACCCCCTTTTGCCTTTCTATGTCTGTTCAAGGGGCTGGGGCTGGCCAGCAGGCCCTGGACTCCCTCCCCATTCATGTAATGGGGTAGGAGTTCCATTGCACATTTTGTATTACCCTGTATGCCCTTCACTAGTTGCAACTCATTTTGAAGCTTGACCTCCTTCACTTTCACTCTAATTAACATCCAGGTTCAGATTCTCAACCAGAGAATATCGATTCTCCAAGTAACTTTTTCCACCAGGCCCAGTGCAAGGAGTTCACCCACCTACTATGCTGTCCATATATGGAGCCCATACCATCATGTTTTTTCCTATTGCCAGCATCCAAGCTTGATAAAGCCAGCAGAAGTATACCCCTTGCTGTGTATTACAATGACACCTTCATTTTTCTATGTAAATTTATCCCTGTGGCAGCCCTTCTTCCGTAAGTGTAGAACTAAATAAGTCTGGGTTACAAAGAAATTGAAAATTGGTAAGACATTTGTACTGTCTTATTCAGCTATTATTTGCAGCTAGATTGAGCATGTTGAAGCAATTATTTGACCCATCCCAGCTGGATTTCATCAGCTTCAGAGGCAGACCTCATAGTGTTGAACCGAAGACAGAACTTGGTCCTAAGACTTTCTGTGAAAGAGTTGCAGAGGGGAAATAACTAAAATATGAGTCATTTTTCTTTCATAGCCTGTGTAAAGCCAAATAAGATTGGAAGAGTAAATTAAACCTCCATGTACCCTATGGAGAAGAAATATATAACAACTCAATTATGAGATTAATTAGATTTATTAACATGAGGTGGGTAGTATGTCAATATAGTAATGGTTTACTTAAAATATATCAGTAGCTAACTAAAATATATAGTCAGAAATTGAAACATGCTAGTAAACAGGATAATCCTAAATCACAATTAATATATCATTTTCAGAAATGGGTATTACCTTGGATAGTGTTATCAAAACTTATCCAGCCAAGATTTGATACAGATAGAAGGAAATTTCATTCATTTTGACTAGCTTTTTGTATATGGGAATGGTTTCTTCTCTAAGAGGAAGGAGAAACCATGCCCCCCTCATTAAAAGTATCAGTACTTCCCACTTAACTTCTGCCTTGCCAACTTGGAGGAAGGCAGGAAAAACAACAATGTTTGACAAAATCTACGTCACAAAATGTAGAAAAGCAGAGAAATGCGAAATGACTAGAGAAGCCAGAAATCCTGACAGACGTAGGATGAGAAGGGACACGCAACAAAGAAAGAAGTGGCCCAAATTGTCTTTGCTGGATGATTTGGGACTAGAGTCATTGCAAAGAATTTTAGGGTAAATCTGGAGTAAATAAGCTAGGAAGGTACCAAATCCCATCCTCTCCCGGGGCTTCGTTTGCTCACTCTATCCCTTTTATTCATACTGAGAGTTTATTAATTACTAAGCTAAGAGGTTGCCCTTTCATATGCATGTTTAAGTCCATGTTTATAAAACTTAGCACTAATAGGAAGTTAACCAAATATTTGTTAAATCCTTGCAAAAAGACAGCTTTAATGATTCTTAAATGCAAAAATAAGCCATCTTTTCCTGAACCAAATCTTTTACATATTTTTCTTAATAGGTAAGTGTATGAAAGAAAGTTGATAATGATATCTGGGTTGTGAATACTGAAATAGAAAATCTTCATTCAAGTAAACTAGCCAAAGTCCTCAGAAGAGGGCTTACATAGGACTTAATATGCTACATAGACCTTGGACTAGTCCTCTGTACAGGAATAAGGAGATCATTAGGCTGGCAGAAATAAGGACATGCAAAAGCCTGTATGGGTGAGTGCTTAATTTAAGGGTGAAGTTACACATTGCACTCAGACCATATTAAAGTTATGCAATGTTAAGCAGTGTTAAACTTAAAACATGCTGTGAGCAGTCGCACATTAAGCATTAATATAATTTCTTGTCTGCACAGCTCTGACTTGCTACTAGAGGGTTGGAGCACAGCAAAGAACCAGGACACCTGGGCTTTATCCCTGCTCTGGTGGGCAGGCTGGGGGGTGGGCAAGGAGAGGTGTATATAGGGATGCTGGAGGATTGCAAATTGCTCATTTTATCTCTGTGGAGCGGACTGAAGGTAACCTAATACAAACTAGGTAGCATGGCTCAGAGTTAACTTGCCTGAAGTGGTATAACTTTGAGATGCTCAGAGGGCACATAGCATGAGTTAATGAGCTTAAATATGTGGATGCTTGTGGTTTAAGTGTCCTTAGTATGGTCTAAATGTACTGTGTAACTTCATCTTAAGATAGAAGGGATACAGGAGAGACAGAATAGAGTGAGACCAATGGTTAATTCTTTCAATTTAGATTTTATCTTTAATGAATTTATCTCTTGACATTTCAAATAAAATAGAATATAAAGCTAAAGATGAAACACTTCTTTATTTTTAAAATGTTGCCTCATTCCCTGAAGTCAATGGAAAATAAAGGACTGCTTTAAAGGTTTAAGGAGGTTTAAGCTGGATATTAGGAAAAACTCTCTTACCAGGAGGGTGGTGAAGCACTGGAACAGGTTACCTAAAAACAAGGTGGAATCTCCATCCTTGGAGGTTTTTAAGGCCTGGCTTGACAAAGCCCTAGCTGAGATGATCTAGTTGGGGATGGTCCTGCTTTGAGCAGGGGGTTGGTCTAGATGACCTCCTGAGGTCCCTTCCAACCCTAATTTTCTAGGATTCTGTGATTCTATTAAATGAAACAGATCTCTAAGTGCTTTGCTATCTGTTGCTTCAGTGCTTATAGTTAAGCACTTAAATGCTTTGCTGAATTGGATCCCAAGTGTCTACTGTTCTCCATCACTGCATACACTCACTAATTACAAAGATTTCAATTTATTAAAGACAGTGATGTTTCAAACCTTATTGTGAAACTTTGTGCATTATAGTTCATACATACATACTTGTAAGTGTGATGTGTCAGAATAAAGTCCACCAGTCCACTCAGATTAAGATCAGAAAGATGCACTTTTGCTTGCCTTCCAACTTTGTGATATGGAGCTGAGGTGGAGTTGTTCACCTGGACTTCAGCAGCAGGCAAAGTACAGTTCCAAATAATTAGCTCATTTATTTGTGTGCTCTATTTATTTTTCAAGATTCACTTGAAGGGAGAAGCAAGCTGCCTGAAGGAAGAGGTAAGCTGCGTGCCTGGTGTTCTTTTCTCTAGATCTTTTCTTAATAATTCATAATAAAAAGCTTTCTCCAAGATTTGAAGAGGGCCAGTAAATAGTCCCAGTGTGCACTGTAAATATGGGAAGGAAATAAAAGATTAACATTCAAAAGCTGAAGAAATGGGTAAGAAGCATTTGGAACTAGGAGTTTGGCTGAGTTCATGATAGGTACAGGGCCAAAGGCAAAATTTGGATCCCTGTCTGAGTTTTCCAGTCACAGGGGTGTTTGGGCTATGGGTTTTAATTAAACTTATTTTTAATTTAAAGACAGAAGAAAACTTTCAGGGAAAGGGATGCATGACAGTGGAAAAATGAACATACCATGGAGCTGCCTGCTTTTAGTTTTTTAAGGGTTGAGTTTTGCTGGAGGTAATTTTCCAGTTCATTAAGACACTGATGTCAAACAACTGACTTCAGACAGTTCCACATATAATAGGATGTTGTATTGGTAATAGTCAATCAGCACAATGGCAAGTAGTTTGGAACAGAGTGGAAAATTATACATTTTACTCTGACTCTGTATGACAAGTATACAATTTATTGATATTTTAAAAAATAATTCATTTTGCAGGCCTGAATTTTATAGCATTGATTTATTTTATGCACTTTTTTAAAAACGTGGTCAATAATTTTTCACTTTGGAATCTCAAAGCATTCTCTGAATCTCACTTATCAGGTTCTGTTTCTGCTTAAAACATTACTGCTAAGTATAGATGTTCAAAAAGCCTGCGGTGAACCAGTCAAACTTACATGGCTTTTTGTAAATGGTGTAGGCTAGTTTGGGAGTGAACAGACCACAAGTTTGCCTTTTGGTGTGAGGGGCACACAGGCTGCCTGCACTGGCCAAGGCTGGCAGGTTGGGAGAGCTCCTGCACATCTCCCAATGGGCTCCCCAGGCTGCCGGAGATTGCTGAGCACACCCGAGTGCAGCTGATTAGCTGGGCCACCCCCGATTGGCTCCTGGACATGGGGAAGCATGTCCTCTCTCCCCCATCATCCACCACAGACATCTGTTGTCTGCAGACAGTTCACCCATCCCCTGCAGCCTGGCTGTGCTCCCTGGTCCCAGTCATGCAGGGTATGGGTGGGGGGGTCTCAGTGGGCTCCTACACACCCACCTAGGGACTCCCATACCCCTGTGAGTGGACACAGCCCCAAGCAGCATGACCAAGCACCCCTTCCTCCCTCTCCCCTTGTCATCATTAGCCACTGACATGTCAGCTGTAGTCAGGCACTGGAGACACATGCTCACCTATCCCCTGCAGCCCAGTTATGTTCCCTGTGGCTGTGGTCACTCACAGGGGTCAAGGTGGTCCCTGGGTGGGCTCCCACACACCCACGCACCCAGGGACCCCTATGCCCCATGAGTGGGCACAGCCCCAGGGAGCCCAACTGGGCTGCAGGGCATGGCCAAGCACCCCTTCCCCCTGACTCCATCATCAGCAGCCACTGTATTGACTTGGCTCTAAGAGACTAAGGGCAGGGCCAGCTGAGCGCTCAGCTGGAGCAGCTGAGCATGGGGCAAGTGATAGCACAGCTGCCTGTGAGGGGGAGTTAGTGAGGGGGTGCAACAGTGCCTCAGATACTGGTGGACAGTGATCTAACATGAATTGATGGGGAATCTGGTACAGAAGTTTGATTCCCTAGTCTAACCTAAATTAATTGAGTGCACACTGATCCAGGTCTATCTTAGACCCGGTTCTGCCATTTTTAAACCAGTCTGTGTGTGCCAGTCTTGTGTACTGTTAGGTTTAGACCAGTTTCCCAGCACTTATGCTGGGAAAAAGTGTAATGTCTGCACCTAATCTAAGGAGAATTGTGATGGACTATGGGGAGTCTATCCTGCTGCTGGAAAGAGAAGAAATTTCGCACTCTTGCACTGATCAGAAAGGCTTCTAGAACTCCTATGTTTTGCCTTCATTAGAGCTTTTAACAGGGAGCCCAGCCACTGACTGAGTTCAGTTGCAGTAAATTTATCCTTCTTGAGTATAGGAAACTTTTGTTACACATATTCAATCAAAGCTGCTATTGAAGTAGGAACTCCTGTTGACGTTAGTGGGTATTTGCCTACGAGAGGACCATAGCTTTTAGTTCAATAATAAGACCAAACTCTCCAGTACTTCACACTGTTTGACAATTGTTAATATAGGACCCATAATCTAAGGAGAGGGGAATAAGTAATTCAATTTTAATTGAACATATTTAACTGTCTTCAATAAATCCTTGTGGTTTTCTTTATGGAAGACTTCGCTGAAGCGGTGTGCTTTTGCTTTTTTTTTATTCTGTGAGCTGATTTTCTTTACCTGGCCTCAACCAATCTGAACTGTTATCTACAGCTGAGAATGGAAATTTATGGAAATAGTATTGCAGCTGCATGAAAGTAAACTCTAGGATGCCTCATGGCAATCGCAATAGTTGGTAAACTATGTAGTACAGTTTTATCTGTAGACAGTTAGAGAAGCTAGTATTTTGCATGCACTAGTTCTTCCTTCTGGTCCCCAGTTTCATTCCAGATCAGGTTCAGGGAAGTAACAAGCATCAGATCTGATCAATGTGAGCTGTGCTTTCTAAATTGAAACTTTGCCATTACATTATTTTCCATCAGTTTTTATCACATACAAAATTGTGTTATGTCACGTTGACTGATCCGGTACAAAGTAACAAGATGAGACACAATGACAGGACACAGTGCTACACATCAGAAACATCATCCCTCAGAAATGCAATCTGATGCATTAAGAAAGGGAGGAGTGTGAGAGGGGAAAAGCTAATTTTGGCAGAGACTGGATATGTTGAAAGCAGGTGCTTCTTTTTATCCTCCAAGGGTTTCTTTCTGCAAGTAATAAATCTTTTAATTTGAAATGCCAGTCTGTGTTATATTTTTGGTGTGTATTTCTGCAGAGGGACTGACTGAGAGGAAAGATGAAGCTGAAAAGTTCACTGGGATTTATTCTTCTATTCCTCTTTAAATGTGATGTGTTGACAAGTGCTGAAGAGGCTGTGGTGCTTGCTAATGCCCATCTTCTCCCTCAAAGAGGCTACGAGAAACTGGGTAACAACAATGAGAAAGGTACTCCAAAGAAGGATATGTAGGGGGAGGTACATGTGCTATTTTATTTTATAAGGCTTTACTGTGTGATTTTTCTGTCACCTGTAGTATCTGAGGACTTGAGTCATTAAAGTATTTAGGCCAGGGGTGGACCATTATTTCAGCTGGAGGGCCGCTTAACAAGTTTTGGTGAGCTGTCGAGGGCCACAAGGGTAGGCCTGCCCCTTGACAGGTGCCCCACCCCCGGTCGCCATCTTGGGACCAGAAGTCCCACCCCTAACCCCTGACCTTTGCCACTTGAAGTCCCTCCCCTTGCCCCAGAAGTACTCCTTTTGAGAAGGAGGTAGGGGGGCTGCCATCTTGAAACTAGAAAAAAAATCATATACTAAAAAAAAAAAAAAAAATCAAACATCTACTATAACTTATTTTAATTTTATTTTTAAAATATTTTGGTCCTGATTTATGTGTGTTTGCATAGTGTAGCTAGAGGCGATTGCATAATATCTCAAAATACAGTATTACTCTAGTGTATTGTGTTTGGTAGGGTGTGGATGCAGAGTATGTGGCTGTATGTAAAGTGGGGGTGGGACTGTATGTGCAGGATGTGGGAGGGTGTGGGTATACTTGGGGGTATGGTGGGGAGTGGGGTGTGTGGGAGTGTGTGTGAGGGCTGTGGGATGGTGTGGGTGTGTGGGGGGTTATGGTGGGGGTGGAGTGTGTGGGAGGGTGTGGGTGTGTGTGTAGGGGGATCCTCAGAGTTCCTGGACTGTGCAAGTCCCTGGATCTGCATGTAGTGGCAGTGAGCAGAGCCAGCCCTGCCCGGCCCCACAGTGTGCAGGTCCCCGCACTCCCACCCTAGTCTCCAGCCACACATGGTGCAGGGTGCAGGGCTAGCCCCACCCAGACCCACAGTGCACAGCTCCTGAACTCCTGTAGCGTGTGGGACCAGTCCAGCTACATAGCGCACGCCATGCTCCCAGCCCCCTTTCGCCCCTCGTCCTGGCCTGGTGGGGCCGTACCTGCATTTCCAGGTTCGCAGGCAGGGAGGTTGGAAACAGGCATGAGGTGGCCAAGCAAAAGCCTCTGCCAGGCAGAGGCTTCTTGTCTCTAGCTTCCCTAGCTTGGGGCTAGGAGTGGATCAGGCCAGGCTCGGGGGGGCATGGTCCTTTGGCAACCAAAGCTGCACTTCCTACATGAAGGTACTGACTTGTAAAGGGGCAGCCCAGGACTGCTGCTTACAGACAGCTTAGGAAGTTTTTGCTGCTGGGAAAGAGGCAAATACAACCCTACATGTATTAAGTGAGATATTTCCAGCAGAGATAAGGAAGTGTCAGTACCACTAAACAAGCTATATGAACTCTCTTCCATATACTTCTCTGAAACAAGGCCCATAGCTGTATGCTATACTAGGATTGTCAAGGACATATATCTGTAGAGACTTTGGCAACAGGAAAGCCTTTTTAAACTGCAACCTTAACATTTTTGCTGTGGTAAGATTTGTTCTGTTTAAGACTCTGAAAAACATGAGTGTGTGGCTCTCCTGAACATGAAAACATGGCTCACTTGAACTAGCTTAGTTTCCCAGAAGTAGAATACTCAATTTCATAATAACCAATTCAGTTCTATACACTGCACCCTAATTCCTATCAATCATTGTCAAAACTGCATAGTAAAAAGCCAGCGGAGGACAGAAAACCCTGGAACTGTTGTAGTCAATTACTAGTGATCCATAGGCATTTTTCTCATACAGATTGTCAATTTGTTAAGTATTTCACTGAATATAATATAAATATTAAATAATGTAATGGGTTTCCTTTCAATATTATTCATAGAAAAATAGCAGAGCAGTGAAGTACAGTACAGTTCCAATTCATGACTGAGTCACCATATAATGATATAGACACTAAGTAATGCTTATCTTGACAAAAGAGGAATTGATTATATATATCAATGCTGGCTTTTTAGCAGTCCCAGAGTTAGCTCAAAAACTATACCTTGGTTCTTAGAACTGCTTGAAAACAGTATGAGTGTAATCAAAGGTCTTTTTATGGCTCCATGAATGATTTACAACAAAAACTTACACTGAAAATATACCTCGGTGTACACCCAAGGCCTTTCTACCACTTGTATTTTGCCCAAGTTTTCCCACTACATAAATAACCTGTCAGCCTGAAGATTGTGATACATGAGATGAAGAAAAAAGAAATATATTTCCATTTGTTTTCCTGTTTTATAGTACTGATTTCTTGCTAACTTCTGGTCAGAGCGATGGTACCAAATACAAGGAACAAAGGGCCACATCTTGCTGTTGTCTGACATCAGTATATGGCCACAGTGGGCACATCTACATGTGTCCCTGACTGCGCAGTAGTTACTGCACAGTTATTTAGTACTTGCTAAAGTAAGTACTAAATGAGTGCACAGTAACAGCTGTTACTGCACAATCCCAGCAGCGCATGGGTCATTTCCGATCCTAGTGTGCAGTAGGTACTCATTGCTACTGCACAGTAGCATAGGTGTCACAGTGTGTGCCTTCCAATGCTACTTTGCCCTAGCATCTCATGTAGATGCGCTCAGTATGTTCTGGTCAGATATCGATGGAACAAACATTCATACATTCTGCAGGGTGCAGTCAACTATTTAGAAATTACTAATTAAGCAAATAATTATTTGAAACATACCTTTTTTTTCCTCTATTTAGAATATCCAAGGGATTGTTACGAGATTTTTCAACGCTCTGAAAGAAACTCCAAAGATGGTCTTTATGTTATTCAGCCAATGAAAGATCCTATTGTTGTCTACTGTAATATGCAAGATGGTGGCTGGACAGTAATCCAGCACATTACAGCCAATAGTACTGTGGATTTTGATAGGACTTGGCAGGATTACAAATGTGGTTTTGGCTCAGTTCATGACAATTACTGGTTAGGGAATGAATACATGCATCAGTTAACCAGCAGTTCAAGGCCATATACACTTAGAGTCAAACTCGTAGACTTAAATGCTGAAATCAAATGGGGAGAGTATGACCCATTCTACATTGAAAATGAAGAGTCTCAATACAGGATAAGGGTTGGTCTATACAAAGGAAATGCTATGGATGCTCTGACGCAGGACACAGAAGCTTATCTCCATGACAACCAGAAATTCACAACCAAAGACAGAGATAATGATAACTATTTTCAGAATTGTGCTAAACTAGAGTACAATGGCATTCCAGGTGGAGGCTGGTGGTACGATGCTTGTGCTGGAGCAAATCTAAATCGCAGGAATGTTATATACTGGCAAAAGGACTGCAACAAAGACCATATGTGCAAGTTTGCATGGATGATGGTCAAGCCCAGTGACTATGGCCAGTGTACCACAAAGGCTTGTCCTTGTCATAAAGATGAATTGTAAATAACACAACTACATTTTAAAAGGATGTCATCAATGAAGCTTGTAAAAAATCTATTTGCTATCTCTTTGTTTATTGTATGGAATCAGTAGGATCACTGTTGGTAGCAAAATTGTTTTCTATGACTAGTTCTTTTAGAAACTCTGGAACTAACTTCAAAATTTGGATAAGAGTTTGAATTCCCTGTTGGTAAGGAGCATTTGAGTCCATTGTTCTGGCTCAACTCATGGCAAAATCAGACTCAGGTGATGTTTTTCAGAGCTGGGTGTGGTTTGTGATTCTGAATTCCTCCCAAAAGTAAGATATTTTTTAATCTAGGGATTTCCATTCATTTTTACTTTGAACTTTTTGTACCACATAAGTACAATAAGAGGTAGGTGTAGCTATTTAAATGATCACTTTCAAAGGACTAGAGAGGCATGGATAAGTAATAAATAATTATTACATTTCTGTAATCTCCTGCCTGAAGACAAAGTCTTAGGTTCGTTTACTATTCTATTAACTGGAACAGAAAATTAAACAACAGACTATGTTCACAGCTAGTCTGTGTGAATCCCAGATTCATTATGAATGGACTCTTTTTTAAAGCTCTTCCTAAATATTCCTGTTTCTGAATTCAGTCCTGCCTCTGTACAGGCTGGCAGGGTTGGACCTATAGTCATGACAAGTATCCATTTGTAATGTAGTACATTTGTAAGGACCTATTCAATTCACGATTTTGTGGATTTTGCAGAAATTGTGAAATTGGGCAATGTCTGCAACATCTGGGGAGAAAAAGAAAAACTTACTAAAACTAAAATGCTGCCTCCCCAGTGGGAGCCTCTAGTATTCATGGCTGGTGTAGAAGGAGAAAAGGGGGCTGCTGGTACAAAGGGGAGCAGCCAAGATGGCTGCTGCCCCACGCCCCTTGCTGATGATTGCCTGAGAGGGCTGCCTATTGTGTGGCTCCATCCCACTCCATTAATCAGCACCAAGGGGTAGGGCACCAGGGCCCCTCAGCCAATCAGAGGTGTGGGAGGGCACCATGATAAATCCTGCCAGCCCTGTGATCTGCCCACGAAATCAGCCACATGCCTCCTTGATTTAAGTAGGTCCTATACATGCGCTAATGAAAATGGAACTCCCAGCAAGAAACAATTTGACATTAAAGAGGACTGATATGAAAATGTGTATGTCTTATATTCCATTCATAGAGGGCCATGATATGCATGCAATTCTGAAAAGTTGTTTTTATGTGAGTATTTATGGTTGTAGCAAGTTTACAAATACACAGTGGCATATTTTTATGAATCTGGCCAAAATCCTCAGTAGCACCTGTTGGTATGTATGTTGTAGGTATAGTTAAAAGACGCATATCACACCGGTGGTTGCTTGAGTCAGGCAGAAAACAGAGCAGGGTTGCACCTTAGAGCAGGGGTGGGCAATTATTTGGGCTGGCAGGCCACTTAATGAGTTTTGGTGACCTGTCAAGGGCCACATCTGTGTCCCTCCTGCTCTGTGTCCCTCCTTCCCTCCCTCCTGGAGCTGTGAACAGTGTGGAAGCCACATGCTGCCCCCGCCCCACATGGCCAGAGTCCACCTGCCTGAAGTTTTAGCATGCCCCAACCCGCCAGGCTCCAGGTGCAGAAGCATGAACCCGCCCACAGTTGTAGCATGCCCTGTGTCCCCCACCCCTCCATGCCTGGAGCCCCAACCCAGAAACTGCTGGCCACATTTAGACAGCTGGGGATGCAGCCAACAGCTGCCAGGTCCCAAGTAACAGGGTTTGGGACTATGAACTGTGTATAACATAAGCTATTCCTTATTTTTATTAGACCAGCCAGACTTAATGGTCTTGTCAGCCTTCCTATTAGAAAGTTTCATAGTGTGGGTTTACAATGCTATAAAATTTTTCTCCTAGTTGAAACTTCATGAACAATTTTATCAATTTTAAAACAAAATGCATCTGGCAAGTTTTGAATTGTAATAAAAAAAATATATGAGTATTCACACACTTCTTGTTTTCTTGAGTAATTTTTAAATGAAATTTTGTGAGACATTATTGCTTCATATTAAGACTGTTTTTTTTACGGAATTCATGATGTCCTTCTTAACATTATTGTGAGTTAAGAACAAACCACTAGCTTTAATTCTGATCTGCTGGGTTTGGTTGTGATGGTCTTCAGATTTGACATAATTTAAACACAGGGGCTGCATCCAGATGAGTGCAGCTTTGCGGTATGTGGTGCTGCAAACACGTCTGTGGTGCCACTTACCACACATTTAGATGTTCTCTGTGCAGTAAGGGTGCACACACAAGCAGAGCATGCCACTCAAAAGTGGAGCTGGGCCTCCTGGAGCCATGCTCTGGCTGCTGGCCAGGCTCTGTGTGGCAGAATCGCCACTACTGCAGCCCTGAGACCCCAGGTAAGACCCTCAAGGTGCACCACCACTAGTTGCCCCCAGGGAACCAAATGTCCTTGCTCATTTGGACATGCCCAGGGTTTTTCTTCTGACTACCAGTGTGAAATGCAGTGTTATTGTACTGCCTTCAAAAATGTTATTATTAAAAAGTTAAATAATGACTTTTCAATTAATGAGCCTTAAAAGTGTTAATAAAAGGATTTATTCTATAAGTATCTGAAAAAGTCTAGTATCTTGTGCATATGAAAGTTTCTGTCCTTATGTAATTTTTCTCTCTATCACCAGAAGATCTGACTGGTTGCTTCCTTTTTGAGTAATTTTTTAAATAATACACCACTCTAGTCAATAAAATATGGCAAACTTTTTCTTGATTTAAAAATGGAATTTCTTGAAAATATTAGAAAACTGATGATAACTTCCATGCAAATTAATTTACAGCAAAGAAACTGCAGCATGTCAAGGCAGCAGGGGATGCATAGGAATAGAACAGGTGCTAGGTTAATATAACTCATGTGCTTATGCTACAACATAAGCACATGATGCTGGGGGTCATCATTGACCACAAGATGAACATGAGCCTGCAATGCGATGCTGCAGCTAGTAAAGCGACCAAAACGCTGGCTTGCATCCATAGATGCTTCTGAAGCAAATCCCAGGACGTCATTCTCCCCCTGTACTCGGCCTTAGTGAAGCCACAGCTGGAGTACTGCATCCAGTTTTGGGCTCCACAATTCAAAAAGGATGTGGAGAAGCTTGAGAGAGTCCAGAGAAGAGCCACACGCATGATCAGAGGTCAGGGAAGCAGACCCTACGATGACGGGCTGAGAGCCCTGGGGCTCTTTAGCCTGAAAAAGCGCAGGCTCAGGGGCGATCTGATGGCCACCTACAAGTTTATCAGGGGTGACCACCAGTATCTGGGGGAACGTTTGTTCACCAGAGCGCCCCAAGGGATGACGACTAGGTCGAACGGTCATAAACTACTACAAGACCGTTTCAGGCTGGACATAAGGAAGAATTTCTTTACTGTCCGAGCCCCCAAGGTCTGGAACAGCCTGCCACTGGAGGTGGTTCAAGCACCTTCAGGAGCAAACTGGATGCTTATCTTGCTGGGATTCTGTGACTCCAACTGACTTCCTGCCCCTGGGGCAGGGGGCTGGACTCGATGATCTTCCGAGGTCCCTTCCAGCCCTAATGTCTATGAAATCTATGAAACATTTTTTTTAATGTTCAAAGAAAGAAAGAGAAGCAAGGGGAAGAAAAAACATGGATTTCAGAGCTGTAAGAAGTAGGGTTTGTGACCAGGGTAAACCCTGAAGGAGAGGCTGGGTGTGGGGGGGAAAGAGCACTGGATGATGTGATTCTGAGAGTGGGAGGTGGTGTGGGCAGGGAGAGCACAGTGGGGGCTGCAGGCTCTGAGAGTGGGGCTGTGTGCGCACAGGAATCCTACCTATGCCGGGGACTCAAAAACAATCCCCTGCTGCTGCTTCTGCTGCTGCTACTTCTGCAGTGTGGTCTTCTCACTGCAGATGTTACTTTTGCAACAGCAGTAACAAGGTGTCTTCATACCTAGCTGCTGGTGCAAGAGCAATGCCAAGGGGTTGCCCTTGCTGCCAGGGCCCGGACTCCATAGGGGTGAGGATGCTTCTGGGGCAAGTCTTAAACTGGCATCTGGACCTGGTGCCCTGCTTGTCCACACCTAGTTGCAATACTGATGGATATTAAGTTGAATTGTCTGTTTCTCTGTAGGTCAAGGCAATGCAGGGTTTATATAGGAAAAGTGAAAATGAATCAACTATGGCTGTGTAATTAATGTAAGGGATCATGTTACACTGAATTATGGACATTTTACCTTGGAATGAGAGCATGCACATGGATCTTAATGCACCAGCTTCACATTTGGAGTTGATTTGTCTTAGTTTTCCTGAGGGCCCTGTGATTTCAGTCCCTAAGTAGATGTATCCTCAGAAATCATCTCTGTGGTTAACCAGGGCTTTTAGCCCAGTCCCTTTTACCATCCAGAAAAAATTCTGACATGGGTTTGGAGCCTTGTCTAAGTTTATCCATCAAGGGCTATGGGATGGAACCTGCCCACTTTGAAATGAAGATTCAGGCAAATGACTGAAGTGTTGGAAGTCCTCCAATACCATTCTCCTAATCCCCCTTAAAGAACAGAAAAGTTTTCCCATGATTGATACAGTTGCCTGGGAAAGAATCTTAGAGCGTCTCAGCATAAAGGAAGATGGAAGATGCCTTCAGGTGTATGCCGTGTGCACACGCGCACACACACCTCCTACTTGACTGCAGAAACAGTGAGGGCTCATTAATACACCCTTCTGGAAAGCTTGTAACCAGGTTCAGCTAACACAGTTGCGCAAACCTGTGTGCCAATCAACTGGGCTAATTGTGCAGTGAAGAAATCTCTGGTGATGAGATCAGAAGTGAATGTATCTGTGTCAGAATACTAAAGCATGAAACAGTATATGTGCTGTCAAAACTTTGTGCCAAAATATATGCCATATATGCTAATAAAAGGAAGCAGGTGACAATTCACAAACTGGTTAAACAGACAATGACAACAAATGTGTGAAAATGTGACCAAAAGATTGGACAATTCAAACAAAAAGTGCCTTAAATACGATGGAATGCAGTGTTGATAAACAACAAAAAGATGTAATTGGAAATTAATGGACCAAAATTGTCAGAAATTAGGCCTAATAAGTGAACAAAATAACAAAGGTGGTCGTTTCCATTCATTACCACTCCTTGTGGGAGGTTTAAAAAGAGAGACTTCGGAGATTAAAGTAGTGAAATTGGATTTCCATGGAAAAAGGCCAGCAGATCTCTGCCTAGATTTCCTCACTGGTGAATCTTAATCCCTGGGAGATCTAGACGAGCACACCTCTAAAAATACCCAAGTTCACAATAAGAAGACCAGCAAGGACCCAAAGCATATGCATGTTAAATCTACTCTGACTTCCTCGCCCTTATTGGTCCTTCTCTCTCTCTCACTGTCTTTCTCCTATTTTATCTCTCTCATGGCTTTTCACCTGATCCTGAGACTCATCTCACTACGTCGCACTAAGGCCATTAAAATGTATTAAAATTGGCTCCAGTCCAAATTAACTAATCCTCACTGAATGAGGATTAAAGTTAATTCAGACCAGGAGAGTCTGAATTAGGCAATTTAAACTGTATTAATTAACACGTATATATGATGTTACTTTTAGGAAACGGAGCCCTAGGAACTTGGATAAGCATTCCTTAAGAATGCAGATAAGCATTGCAAATATCAACCCCCTCAAGGGCAACTCATTTGGCTTTTTGCAACACAACAGGCACAAAGTAACACCTTTACAAAGTCAAATGTGCCAACAACACCTCACCTGACTAAGTATCAGTATCCTGACTATGGCCCCAACCCTACGTAAGCACATGGGCTACTGGTCTGTGAAGAAAGGGGCAAACCCCCTTGATCATCTATTAACATTTCATTCAAATTGAAATTTGATTCAAACTGTGTGATGCAAATCAGTTAACACTGTTTAGAAAATGGTGAGTACATCTACAAATGGCTTACCTGCCAGCATGAGATGGCCCATCCGGCTCCTCCCAGTCAAACAATCTCCAGCAAAGGAGAGGTGCCTGGCCAGACTATTCAGGCAGTGTCCTTGAGCAGGGAAATGAACAAGTGTCCTGAGCGCCTGAGGTCATGTCTCACCTGCCATTTATCCTGAGAATATCAGTAAAAGCTGTATTTCCAATGCATTTCACTATCAAATCTCCTCTATCTCCTGTTTCACTAAAAGTAAAAAAAAAAGAATTGCCATTCTCAAAGTGATAAATTTGAGAAGGATTGTTTGGCAGAATAAAAGACTCCAACTCATATTTTCTTTTAAATGAAGAAACTCTGATAAGTTAAATTTGTCCTGCATAACCACTTAGTTTCAATATTCTTTTTGTTTTGTGGTTTTTTATTCTCTTGTGTAGCCCAATGAATAATTTTCCAATCTTGGCCATGAATGTGTGTTGGTGTGCTGGTGTGTTGACATATCAACACCTTTGACTTTCTGTTTCTAGTTCATTAAAATTAACAGAGCCTTCAAGGGGACTCCATTGTCTTCTACAATTCAGAAGTCACCAGAACAGCAGTGGTTTACACAGGTAAGAAGGCCTTAAATGTAATAGTATATGGGTGCGTCTACACGTTGCCTTACGTCTCTGTAGCTACACGCTAAGGTGATGTAGCAATCATGAAGGTCTACATGTGATTGGCAGCTACTTCACCATAGTGGCGCACTCCCTCATTTTAGCACACCGCTATGGTGAATTAGTTGCAAAAAATAACCAGTTATTCTTTCCTTCCAGAAGGAAGTTCTAAAGCACGGCACAGTAGCAATGTGGTCATGGGGTGACGTGTAGATGTGTCCTATAATTAGTAAATGTAGTTATTTGAGTCTTACTGCATTTAGGTAACTCTTTTATATTCTATTTATGATATAATGAGTAAAAGACGTAACAACTAGCAATGAGAACAGGATGGTAAACTAGAAATACTGTTTTGACAAGACTGCAGAGGCCTAGTAAAGTTGGAAAGAAAACAGAAGTCTACTCTCACTGGGATT